ATTTGAAAGCTGTTCAACTCAATGAGTTATTTCATATTTAATTGCTGACTGAATATAATCCGATAAATATAATAATTTTATAGCATTTAAACAGTGTTACTACACTTTTTTCCAAATAAGAAATAATTTCAGTAATTTTTAATAATTTTATGAAAATATAGCTTCGATACTTGTGTGTACGAACAAAAACAATGTTTTATTACAATCAGGTGTAAAACTAGATAAAAAAAAAAAAAGACAAATCGTGTCGCGCAAATTCTTGTAATGTTGTGGAGCAACCAATCGAGCGAGACAAGCGAAAAGAGAGACAGAGATCAGCGGCGGCACCTCCATTAAGAATAGAACACTGCGCGGATTTAGATATCCTCGCGTCGCAGTCTCTCGCGGCACCTGCGCGACTGACTGCAAGAGCGTGGAAAATATAGTCTACACATTTTGACAAACGAATTCCGGTGAAGAGCAAATATTTACGAGGCGCGTTAACTCTTAACGTTATCATTCGCGATAAAAACATAACATTATATAGTGCCTCATTACTCCGTGTAATCATCCAATTACGCTGTTATCAGCGTACACTTATCTTTGCGACCTAAAACAATATTACGTAAATAGTTTGAACCTTTTGCTTTCATGATAACAGGCTGTTTTTTTGTTTCTTTTTCTTTTTTCTTCAGATGTTTCTTTCACAAGACTCATACTGTAGAAATGAAAATAATATATTTAATTGAGACATCGACGATTGTTACAAAATTAAAGTGCACTAGGTCCTAGAAATAATTTGTATATTTTGTAAAAGTATATTCTTTCTACTCTATGCCGCTCAGCGTGATAGACGTATGTCATGTTTGTGTATTTCTACATACTAGATATATGTATATGCACTTTACTGTATGTGTGTGTGTATATATTCATATATATATATATTCATATATATAAATATTCATATATATATATTCATATATATATATTCATATATATATATATATACATATTATATAAGATAAATGTGACAGATTTCTCAGCTGTTGAAATATTGAGTATCAGACAAGCATAGATAAGGTTATGCCAAGTTATACCTGCATGCATAATATTGTGTGGTTTCTTCTTGGAATGCACATGTAACATGTCCTTCCATTTGTAACATGTCCTAAGAATCCCATCACGTTTCTTATTTATTCTATAAATTGCGAAAACTTTTTATTTTTCTTCATTCTTGCCAGAATTCTGTCTTAACATGCGACAAAAAAAAATACTGCGAGAAAAAAGATCTACTCTTTCTAGCATTAAGCGATTAGACTTATAGAGCTCCCCGACCTTGACCCTTGTTTGATGATCGACGAGCACGCGCAAGGTGACGGTTATGCCATGCCGGTGAAATTCGACGATCCACCGCCTGGAAAATCGAACGACGGATGTCGCACGATTCGTATGCGAAACCAGACGTTGCTTTTTCATGCTGACATCTGCGAAACGCCATATAACGACCGATCGGGCGATTTTGTGCCGCACAATCGAAAAATCCCTGATGTCTCAAGACAGTCGATCATGAATCACCTCAATATCAGCAAAGGCCAGATTTTGCGGCAATCAATTTGCCGGTTCGTCGATAAAAGACACACAGCATGTGTATCATTGATGTTACGAGATAGTTGGAAGACAGAATGAGGTCGTGAAAACAGTGGACGAGGAGAGTTTAGATCGGGACTCACTTTTCTTATTCGACTATTTAATCTGTTCTACATAAAGCGTAAGCACATTGATACGCATCTTTCATTTTTGTAACTATAGTCGCATCGGGACAGACATTTAAAAACTGAGAACTCGGATGTTGAAGAGAAGTAAATACTCGCTCTAAATACTTGTTATAAAATTTATCTGAATAAAACGGAACATTTCTGTCTCATTACTAGAACTTCTTCAGTCGTTCAATCGTAACAGCATAAAAGCGATAATAATTACAAAATGCTGTTACGTGCGCATATTTGATAAATAGTCGAGTAATATGTGTCGAGCTCGGGAGAAATTAAATGTGTGTGTATTCGACAAAATTTATCGACGCGGTATCTCCGTCCCGCCGTTTCCGGGGGCTTCCGGGAGCTGCGACTCCCTTGAGGAGCCGATCACGAGACTTTTGCCAAGGGGAATCCGAGGTCGCGAAGAAACGGAAGGTGTCGATCGATGAGTTGTACGAGGACGGGTTGGTTTCCATGCGGCTTGACCGTCGTGTGGAGTATCGATTCGAGTGGGCAAACAGTCTCTGGCATTCGGTACCGCTTCGCTTCACCGTCGCTCGTGAATGAAACGCATAACATGCGACGATTAGCCGGTGCGATTTAACTTTTCAATGTGAAATGACGCGACCGACGATCAAGATATAAATTCGTTCACAACATGTTTTTTTTTTTTTTTTTTTTCAGAAAAAAAGAACAGGATCGTAAGATTTTAACTCGATTATCAGCACGACGACATTAAACTGATGGACAAAAAATATGTTCGCTGCTGCTTTTTTTAATCGACTAAATAAAAACATCAATTCCTGCTGATTCAAGAACCTCGTTAGAACTCAAACTTTAATATAAGTGCAAGATTGTTGCACGATCGTCGAAGTGCAACAAGATATTGTCGCTCAACTATTGCACTTATCGACATAAAATTGCGGCAGAGTGACTCTGAATGCCAGAAAATGTAAACGCGGTGACACAAATGAATGCCAGTGAGACAGCATGTGTCACACAAGTCTCTCTTTCTCTCTCTCTCTCTTTCTCTCTCGCGCGCGCGCGAATTTGACGAAGAATGCCGCGTACGGTTCGATACTGGGCGTCGCGACGCCCGGCAGTCTGCCACTATTCCGTTCCATCTCGTCCGACGTGTTAAAGGCGTTTTCTATCGCCGGCAATAAGAAATCTCTTATGTATCTAGATACACACGTTTGTCTGTCAAGCATATATTGGCAGTTTTGAACAGAGGTTAGCGACTACATTAATTTGTCAAAAAGATTTAGCCCGATTATGACACTATCAAAGTACTTGCAATATGAGAAAACGATATTTCTGTCGTGCATAAAACAGGAGAATAGAAGCGGGCAAAGGAAGTTTATAAGGCTTCCTTTTGCGCATATATTACGTAATTAAAAGGAAACCGACTTGCTGTTCGTAAACTCACACGAACTCTGCTCGAAACTAATTAACGTTCAAGTTTCGTGGCGTATTCGCGAATAATTACGATAATCATCGATGATGCAATTCAATCCGTTTTGCGATAATTAGAAGCGCTTGTGTTAATACCCATTGTGTAAAAAATGTGTAAAAATTTACATCAAAAATATAAATAATATATCACATTAACAGTGTACTATAAAAATAGTGTAATATAAAAACTGTCAACTTTATACACGATTTATATATAAATAATAGTATATTACATTTCGTAAATTTATAACGTTAAAACAAATTACGTATATTACAATATTTTCTTCTAGTTTGACGTAATAGAATTTTTGTAGTGCGGCGTCAAATGTGTAATGTACGATTGTATAAAATACAAAGAATAAGATAAAATAAATTGAGTTTTATAAATTCACAACCTTCAAAATAATCGATATAAATCTGATGCTTTCTTATATAGCGCAAACTAAAAATATCATTTCTAAAATTTCGGTGATTGCGATTGAGCAAATCGCACTCTTGGACGCACACTTTCCCGTTGGCAAGCGACACTAGCCAACGCCGTTTAAGCGGTGATTTATTCATTAACTCTTCGCGGCTCACCTGCTACGTTTGCTGAGATAATATCAGCAAACGTAGCCGATTGAAAGTTCTCGCTGCCACTTTATGACAATTTTGGTTTGTTACTCTTTATTAAAATATTTATTAATAATATATCTTTAGAATATTTATTATATTACCAATCATATTAATTGTTATTGATTTTCCAAGACATTTTCTAAAAAATAGATTTATCTATAACAGCGAGTTTTGTTTTACAATTTACTTTTCAATTGCGATGTTAAATTAAAAATCTAGCTTTGATTGATTTTTTATACTGAAATAAATAATGTGATCTTCAATGAACACACGTCAGACTTTTACTTCAGTGGGTTTACCCCAATTATCTGTCAAAAGAACAAATTTTCGTAACGAGTGTATGTGTGTCTCGCGTAACGTCAAGGGTTGTCGTTCGTCGCAAAAAAAGTAACTATCTCAATCGAGGGCGCTGTTCGTCAGACGGACGGCGAACTATTTTTCGGGATTTCAATCATTATCAACACGAAGTCGACACGTCAGAAACGAAATGGATTTTTTACGTATACATACACATAAAGAGATGGTATATAGATGCGATAGATAAAACAGGCTGTTTACGGGCGCGGACGGCTTCGCGGAAGGGGTTGAAGGCTTCATGGAACGGGGAAAAGCGCGGAAACGCCGATAACGAGCGCCGACTACGAACTGCCGATCAATACCGTTGTTTCTAGAAGTCTTTTGGTCCTTTCCGATTTGATCCGATCCGAGAAAGAAGAATTCGTTGTACCTTTGAAATCTCATGGTTATCCCACTGGAAAAAACTGTTTCTTCGCTGACAAGTGTAATCGGATACGAAATTGAAAGAGGGAAAAATGGAGCGCGATAATTGTTTGGCGAACGAAACAAATTCGAAATCCTTTCGAATTGCGAAGATAGTCTCACGCATTTTCGAGCGAGAAAAGCGTGGATGGAATTGTTTATTGATTAACATAGCGTAAACGAGAGAAGGTTAAAAATAATACAGACTAATTTTGCTCTAATTTATATCTTTATCACTTTATCTCTGATAAGAAAAAAAATCTATAAAAAATAAAACTAAGTTGATCGATTGTTTTGTCTTCATATATAGTCTCCGAATTTTATTATAGTTTTTCCATTCTTAATTACATCAAGTATAATAAAAAAAAAAACACACACACACACACAAGATGATTGTATAGAATTAAAACGGATGCGTAAAATAAAACTTGTTTTCAGTGTCTGGAACGACGAAAAAGAAAGAGGAAGAGACGGCAGTATCTTCGGTCACGGAAGAAACTACCGTGATCCTGGGCAGGAAGATCGGAACAGGAAGCGAGTATAGAGGAAGTATAGACCTATTGGCGGCCCTGCAGTTGCACAATACCACTTACAATGGCGTTAAACAAGTGCCGGGGGGTCTGTATAGACTAAAACCAACCTACAATCTTGACGGTGAGTCATTTTCGGCCGTTCGCCTTTCGCCAGAGACATTTTCGAGACCTTTAAGTGTATTAAGGCACGTTTTTGCAGTTACGTCTATATAGCTTTTTTTATTACATAACGAAAAATAAAAGTGTTTCATTTGATTCATTGTTCCTTCGAGGAAGAGGATATAGGTTGCGCTATAAATCGTACACAGAGAACTGCCACTTTTATAATGCTCTCTTAACCCGAATAGTCTCTTAATTTGCATATCGTCCGGTCGTTTCTTTACACGATCGATCTTCTTCCCGCTTCTGTAACACACACGTGATGTAATTATCGCATCTCGATAAAGACGATGGATCGTCGCGTATCGCTTACGAAATAAGTACGACAAAAAAATTAATTCTATTTTTAAAACAATAAACAATAGAATTACATTTTTGGGGTAAGTAATACTCTTCAATCACTTCGACAAATCAAACAACAACAATTACATCAACTATAATAATGATTGAACATAATTTTTTTTTTTTTCTACATCAAGTAATATTAATTGGTCTTTAATTTATTCATATCGCGCTTTGCCAAATTTTACACTTGATGCACGTGGCACATAATACACTTCCTGAAATCGATCGCGTTCGAAGGAGTTAAATGACGTTCTTGTTAAATGGACGACCCTTCCCGCGTTGACGTACGCGGCGCGTCTATTCAACCCCCGTAACACGGTGTATCCAATTATACATCCCTCTCTCGTTCGGTGGTGTACGAGCCACGTGGATGTGTGGGCGATAGTGTAACAGCCGCGGAAAGCGAACCTGAAGAAGAGAGAGAGACGGGTTGAAGTTGGGCAGTCGGGGTTTCCCCGAAAGAAATTTCAATTACACTGACGCCCTTCCTCAGGCTGCACCCTCGAGAACGCTTTCGTGAAAGTTAGGCAAAAGCTCTTCGTGGTTCGCGAACATCGAAAATACAAGAGGGATCTCATTTTTGTTTCTTTTTATTGTTGTTGCGAGTCCTTGACGTTCCTCCGTCGCCTTTCTCCTTTCAATCTCGCGCGCACATTCTCTCCCGCCCCTGTTAGAGGGATGCAAGATGTAATTGTAATGTAGTGTCTCTTCTGTGTCTACACAGCAAATGTTTGCTTTAATCCCGTCGTGTTCTCGCCAGCTGACTCGTCGAGAGAAGAGACGAGAACGAATGACGAAATGTTTACATCTTTCAGGAGAACGATACTTGAAACCTTCAACTAATGAACGTTTGCAAGTTGATACGATGGTATAGAGATATAAAAAAAATAGAAATTAAAAAAAAGTAAGAGCAATTTTTGTTATTTCTCTGCAGTTAAAATTATTTCGCACTTTGAGGCACAAAAATTGAATATATATATACCACGAAATAAAAAAAGGAATTGGATCAACGATCGCAGTAAGGAGATTGTATTTAATTTTTAAGCGAGTTATATATAAAGTTGTGTGACAACTAACTCCCCTGTCTTCTCTATCTAGTTTAATCAAAAAATTTATATTCCACGGAGAAAGTCCATTCATGTTTCATCTGTTAAGGACAAATCGATAGCGATGAAATATTTATCTACTTTGGCCCGTTCCCTCTAACGTTCCCTCTATCTTCCGCTCCAACCTCTATCTGCCGCTTTATATAATCACCCGTTCCATTTCGATCGTTCTGGATGGCCATACAAAGAAGAGAGAAACTTCTTTAGGGATTAGATTTATCTCGTATGAATCGCGCCGGATCCTAACAAGAGCACCCGCCGTAGGACAAAGGACAACAATGATATACAGCGACACGTGTCAGAATTTTCGCCGAAAATGGAAATTAGGATCAAGCAACCCTCTTTGTATTTAGATAAGGGATAGTGTGTACGCAATCTCTGAGGATTTCTCAAAAACGTTCTTCTCGTCGAAATGTGTGTTCACATTCTATTTTTATCTCCCTACAGTTTGTTGAGAATCTAATTAATTATTCTGTGTGATATATTTTTTTCAATAAAAGAGAACGTAATTTTTTTATCACCAATAAATAATTCTTTTTGGTGCTTGCTTAACTTTCATGATAATACGATATATAGACGTTGATTGAATCGTTTCGTGAATTATTTACGATCGCATGACAAATTAAACAGATCGATATACACGCGAGTTTTACCTTATGTTGCGGTTGGTCAATATAATCTGTTACATCTATTATCAATTGCTTGTAACTTTTATGACATGTCTCGACTCGCGAAACACACACGCACAAACGATGTATCGTTTTATGCTGGAAATGAAAATTTCGAAGGTTTATGATTAATAACAAACAGACGTTCTCTTTTTTTTTTGTTTTTTTTTTTATTAGCGGCACGCTAATAGATAAAAAAAAAAAGTACATAAACCTTAAACTATCCCACCGGAAGTGATTGTTTTTCCGCTGTTCTTGAAGAGAAACTGTAGCCTAGACTTCATCTGGCGAAAACAAAATTTCACGGTCAAATTATGGTTTCTGCTCGCGTCAGCTTAAGGGTTGCTCGCTCGTGCGTGCTACTTCGCGCGGAACAATTTTCTTCGAGACGAGCGAGCAGCGCCCGGTATTATAGGGGTGTTTTGCCGACCGGCCAACCTTTCTCGCCCGCAGTTGCCGGTGCTATTGCATTATAATTAAGCGTGCGCGTACGTAATTGCTCGACGACGTCGTAGCCGCCGATCGACGACCGTCGTCGGTCGGTCGGTCGGTTTGTCGTCGTTGGTGGCGAGACTCACGCGTCGGAGTACCGACGTTTTATTATCGCTCAGGTGTCCGGTTACTCCATGCGCGCACCGGCGGTACATCTGAAATTTGAGGCGCACTTTGCGAGAAGCCAGAACGCTGCATTTTGCACGCAGCAGCTATGTAATAATGGTATACTTTATTTTTTGGGACAATTTTTTTCCCTTAAAAAACACTAAGCACGGATGTGTCAAATTGAATTGAAGAAAAGTAGTGGAAATATGGAACTGTATTGCGCTAGAGCCGCTGGATTTCTCATTTGCACTTGACACGTTACGCGCGGGTGTCGCGCTTTAATGAGGATAATATTGGAGCCGCGACAGACGGGCAGCAAGATTGTCGATTGCAGCGGCCTACGATAGTGGTGGTGTAATTTGCCAAATGGCCATATTAATCTGTCTAATGGATAGCTACTCAGACAAGCAGCAACCATTTGGACGCGATGTGTTAATTGAATATGCACAAAGTACGTATAAGCTATAATTGATACGCGCATCGCGAGCGCTTCGACAAAGGGGAGAGCGATTTGTACCCGCCACACGAAAAAGAGAATATCTGGTTGATTGCACATTGTCTTTTCTAGAAATATTTCATTCAGATAAAATATTAACGTTTGTATTGTTTAATTATTATAGTTTAGCTCTTAATTGGTGATCGACTATTATAGCAGTTGATCACCAAAAAAGCACAAGAAAAATCGAAACGTGTAAATACGTTCTAAATATACTTTCGCGAATAGCAAGCGCTGGGTAGCTACGAACAATTGAATTTTTGCGTCGATACGGTTACGTAACGTGCGCACGAATACGAGCGAATGCTCTCCAAAAATTCGAGGTAGCCTACATCGCTGTGTTTTAATCTTCTTCATCTAAGTCGATAGTAATGTAAAGTAACATTCTCTCTCAACAAAAATTCTGGCATTAAATACGAACGCACAAAAATTGCTCAAATATAACTTTGCAAGAAACTATACTTGCGCTCAAAACGATTATTGTACTATTAAATTTAATATTTCTCCAGATTGTGAAGCGTTTCGGCTTTCCTTGCCGATAATATCGCTATAAATAATAGTCGTTTGTCGTATGTGTGCTTTAAACGTTCGTGGCAGACGTTTTCCGGAAACGTTTCAACCTTACCTGGAAGCGACCGGGTTAAAAATTCAAATCAGCTCTATCGATTTCGAGCACACGTCATGCAACAAAATTCTTATATATACTTGCTAAATCCTGCATAGTCAACATCTTCCGTATATATAAATAACTAATGTATGAAAAATGTCTTGCCGCACCGATCACTGTACTTTACTACTTCCAGACTTCGAGAGGGAGCTCCGATTGAACGAGGAAACTTTCAAACGGGCAATTGCGCTACTCCGGCGGGTTCCGGAATTTACTATAACAGCCACGCTACGCCAGAATAAGATGAGCGCCGGAACGATCGTCGCCTTTTCCCACGGAAACAATAGGTACACAAACAAGATTTTTCCCCATATCACTTACGTCCTTTGCCGAGATATCAGATCTGTGAGCTGTGATCTATTTATTTCTTTTCGTTTTTGAAATGTTTTATTTGATAAAATAAATGACATACTTCTTTATTTCGTGGCATCATTCCGCTCTAATATGTGCATCGCGATGATTACACTGTCGTATCAGCTTTACAATTTGAATAATGATGTCTTGCGTTACTCAGCGAATGCAACTGGGGTAACAAATTTATTACACGCTCGTCACTCGACAATGAAATATTATCAAAATAAATTGAAAATTTTAAATTATAAAATATTTTGCGAAATATATCTATGTTTTTGCACATCTTGTGTGAATAAAACTGATTTTATAATTTTTGCGCTTCTGCCAGATACTTGGAGCTGCAGAGCAGCAGCCGCAAGAACGAATTTCGATTTCATTATGTATCACGTCGCGACGGAAAAGTGTACGTCGAGACATTTCCCTTTCATCTGAACGATGGCGACTGGCACAGGGTCGCCCTAAGTGTAAGCGGCTCGCAGGTCGAGCTGCTGGTCGACTGCCATCCTCTGTACAGGCGACTGCTAAAGGGTCCACCCGATACCAACTTTACTCTGCCGCAGCTCGAACTTTGGGTCGGACAGAGATACATCAAGCATTCTCCTTTCAGGGTAAATCCGCACAATTTATTGACACAATCAAAGTTTATTAAATCTTTTTTATAATAAATGTTAATTATATCATGTGTTCAAATATTGATTTTGTCACTTTTAATTTTATTCCGTGATATGATTTTTGCGCTACAGGGTGATTTGCAGGAAGTTCAATTAATAGCAGGACCACATGGTTATCTTATCCAGTGCCCTCAACTCGACTCGTCCTGTCCCACATGCGGTCAATTTTCAATATTACAGAATACCGTGGAACAACTAATGTACAATCTCAACGAGTTGACTCGTAGGGTAAGTCATTTGAATGCCATTTACAATTTTTTGTGTCTGAGCGCAAGATATTTTTTTTTACAGAAACTCTTTTTAGAATAGAACTTACACAGTTCTTAAAGAAAGAAAATAATCTCTACCGCAAATCTTCGTTTCTCGGACAAAAATATATTGATGTTTGCTGACAGACATCATTCCTTTCAGCTAGCTGTTGCAGAGGGCAGGATAAGCAAAGTGGAGGAGTGCGAGTGCCAAAAGTCCTGTAGAGTGAATGGTACCGTCCACGAGGATGGCGCAACCTGGTTGAAGGATTGCCAAGAATGTTCCTGCGTGCACGGTGAGATCGAATGCAGGCCGATGTCCTGCAGCCCGGCCGACTGCAAGAATCCTACCATTCCTGAGGGAAAGTGTTGCCCGGTTTGTCTCAGTAAGTAACAATTCTACATTTTTTCACTTTCTTTCATCACTTTCTTTCTCTTTTTCATCTGAGACGTATGTTTTTTCTTTCAATATTTAATAAAAAAAATTATCTTAATTTTGAAATTATAATAATTCGAAAGTAATGTGATAAAATGTGTAACGGACGTGTTTCAAAATATCTTTGTTTTGTTTTTGTTTTGTAACTTGTAACAATTTACAAATTATTCATGTCTCATTAAGAAATTCTATCGAACATTTTAGTTACGACATTATCTTCCCGTAAATTCAATCTTTTGCTTTCGAGCACGCAATTAGCTGATTAGTGGGCGTAGTAGCGTGTTTTACTTCTGTCACATACCTCACGTTATTTATCTCGTTATTCATGTTTTTAGAGCAATGCTTTATGGACGGCGCAAGCAGAATATACGATCATGGAGAAAAGATGACGCCGAAGCGCTGCATCGAGTGCACATGCCATGACGGTAATTTCAAATGTCTGAGATTCACCGACAGCAAGTGTCCACCACTGCCGTGTCCGCCCAGCGAGCAAATTAGCGTGGCGGATGAATGCTGCAAGTTTTGTCCAGGTAAGATTCGCAAAGAACAATACATACAAATTCCGAATTGGAAAATAACAAGTTTCTGACATTTGCGCCCGAAAATATTGAAATTCAGAATTTTAATGCGGGACGAAAAAGAAAGAGAGAGAGAGAGAGAGAGAGAGAGAGAGAGAGAGAGAGAGAGAGAGAGACATAATAAGTCTGAAAGAATGGCAAGCATGTGAAAACGTAACAGAACTTTGCGAGCGCAAGAGCGGGAGTGTTCGCATAGCTCACGCATCATTAACTTTAAATAACCCTCCGCATGGAATTTCTTTGCCAGCTAACGCTTCAAGCGCCTCCTTCTTTTTTCTGTTTACCTTGAATCAATACATACAAACTATCAGTAAAAAAAAAAAAGCAAATGCTCCGTGTATAAATCACAAAGGAGAATGCAGCGACATAACAGAAGCGTAATAATTATTACAATTATAATGCGATTCAAAAAATTATTAAAATACGTAACAATACATATATTTATTTCGTTCGTATGATACATATTTATTTGAGTTAACATATTTATTTAAGTATAAAATAGAGAAAATGTTTCTAAGTTCTATACGAGGTTGCTCTTTTACACTTTTTAAGTATAATTACAATTTCTTAATTCAACATGAGAGGGTTGTGAGACAAAGCGATATATCTTCTTGCTAACAACTTACAAAGCTGCTAATTAAATTCACTAACCGTCTTCTATATTTATTTGACTAACCCAATTTAACCAGGAGTGGACTACTGCGCGAAGGGCCACACATGTCATGCTAACGCGTCCTGCCTGAATCTCCAGACGACTTACGCTTGCCATTGCGATATCGGTTTCCAGGGGGATGGTCTTAACTGTCACGGTATCTAACGCTTATCTAACTTATTCGTGCAATTAATCGCGCGTAAAACATTGTTCTACATTGGGACTTCTGTCCTCGCAGAGAAGTATATATACTAACTAAAATAATTCTCAGTTTTATGTTTTTTTTTTTTTTTTTATCGAAAGTGAAAATATTTAACTGAGAATTAAATCAAAATTAATGTTTATTCAAGTAATATGGAAATTTGTATTCTCGCGTATATACTTGTTGACTGTAATTAAGTTTTTTTGTCATCACTCAGATGTGGACGAGTGCAAACAGCAAGGTGGATCAAACGGCCACCATTGCAACGCGAACACGATATGTGTCAACGTGGAGGGTTCTTATACATGCGAGTGTCTTCCGGGTTACGATAGGATCGACAAATTTAACTGCGCCGATCTGGACGAATGCGCGACCGGTTATCACCACTGCGATAAGCACGCTACATGCGTGAATACTGCCGGCAGCTACTATTGCATCTGCAACGAAGGCTATACTGGCGATGGTTATACATGCAAACGTACAGTATCTCAATTTTTAAGTCTCGATATAACATATAATAATATAATAACATATATAATAATTTGAATTTTTTTAGCCCAAAAAATTGATCTATTTTGGTATATTTCCGATCGGTGATCATTTCTCACCTTAAAGCAAATCAAAAACAAAATATTAACATAGAGAAATATTTAAACACTTTTACACGCGTATTCTCGGAGATTCTATATTAAAGAAAAATATTCATCTCGCAGCTGTGTGTACCCAAACTTGCCAAAACGGCGGCGAATGCGTGGCACCCGAGAGATGCTCCTGTCGACGCGGTTTCATCGGCAACAGCTGCGAGCTCGACCTGGACGAATGCGCGAGCGATCTGCATCGGTGTCACGACTCGTCGTCCATGTGTCACAACATGCCCGGCTGGTATTACTGTCGGTGCAAAGATGGTTACAGGCCTGCTCTGCATTACAGTACCCAGGGTACTCAGTGCGTCGACATTGACGAGTGCACCGACGTGACAGTTGAGAATAAGCACACGTGTCACCCTAGCGCCAAGTGCGTCAACAACGAGGGCGGCTACAAGTGCGTGTGCCCGACAGATCTGGAAGAGTCTGAACAAGAATGCAGCCTCAGTGAGTTCCCTCGTTCTCTTTTTTGGGATAAAATTTACATTATCTCAACACTTTTTGCATATTTATATTATTGAGAACGTGTAATAATAGATTTGCGCATTTTCGCACAGACTGCTGGTTCGAAGACCGCGAAGTCAACAACGGTGAGAGCGTCGCGCCGGCCAACAATTCCTGCAGCATATGCACGTGTCAAGACGGCGTCATCAGCTGTAAGGACCCCGTGTGCGACTGCAGCATACCGGGAAGTCATATGAACAAGTGTTGCCCTCAGTGTGATCCCAAGGCATCCTGCAGGCATCAGGAGCTCCATCATCTAGTCTTCAGAAGCAAAGAACGATGGATATACCAGTGTCAGACTTGCGAGTGCATGGTAATATTAAACGTATTCTCTTAATAGGATGTTCTCTCTAGATCAGAAAAGAACGTTCAAGAAAACAGACGGAGCTTTTTCAGCTCGTTTGACGATTAATCATTGAATTTCGAAAGTTCTTCACATTCAACGTAACAAATTTGATAGCGTGGTGAAATAGACTGCTGGCCGTTGGAATGTCCACCGGTGACCTGCTCGGACCCTGTGACTGAGAACGGCGACTGCTGCCCGCGCTGTCACGACGATCCTTGCGGTCGCGAAGTGCCAACAAACGGTATCTCGTTGACGGTTCCAAGTCATCCTCGGCCTTGCAGCTACGCCGGCGTTATCCACAGCAGCGGCAGCTCCTGGCAGGATCCTCACGACAAATGCACCACGTGCGAGTGCAAGGTAAGAACGAGGACCGGCCGTGTTACTCATCAAGTCGCAGGATCTGCGATCACCGGCCCATGACCCGGCAGATCCGAAGGATACAGATAAGATAAGTGGCGGGAGGGGGGTGGGAAGGGGTGCTCGAAAAAACAGACGGCGCTATGGACAAGTGAGGATGATCGCGCGTTAGATAGTTTCTTGTTTTCCGTCTCTAAATTCTCTTACTTTTTATATTATATTAATTTCTTGTAGTAAAAAAAACAAAAATTCAAAATAACACTGATGCTGAAAAAAAAAAAAAACCATTCCACAAGTTTCCATCGCGCCTTCTTCTCTTGCAAATTCGAGAAAGCTCAAGGTCAGTAATTGAAACGAAATATTATCTCCATTTAGAGCCGTGGATCTCTCTGTCATGTGTCTACTTTATTGCATTCGTTGTACTGTGCTCTAACGTACGTACAACTAGAGTGTAACAGATCTCTATCATAGAACACATGTATATGTTACATACATGGCGAAGCATTTACGCAATCATATCTGTCAATTTCACTTATTTCGAATCTGGTTTATTTATGTCAATCATAATTTTGAATCAATGTTTTACTAAAAACTCTATATGTCTTCATGTCGTGAATAAAAGTAACGATATTATTTAATAAACAAAAAGATTAATTTTGATATTGCAATAAAAAAATATTAGATTGCAAATATGTATTTTCCAGCATTTTCGAATAATACAATTTCTAATCAACAAAAGGTGATGAAGGCTCCAAATATCCAAAATAAACACAGTGATGGAACAAGACCAATGGGAGCGCGAACACCGTTGTTTGAAAATTTTATTGAATATGACAGTGTACAGACGTTTCGACCGGGGATTCGGTTCTTATCAATGTAATTAAAATCGTTTAACAAGATGGGAAATAAAAATGTGTTCAAAAAAGTTGTAGATGTCAATAAAAATAAGATGTCAAATAAATAAAATTGATGTTTAGTCAAACACACATGGGTAACTGTGACTTTTCACAAACGTGGTCGAGACAGGACTCAACGTGGTTCAATTTTTTTGGACATGTGCTAAGTGACTGTGATTTTAGGACATTGTTTATTTCCATCTTGTTAAACGATTTTAATTACATTGATAAGGATCGAATCTCCTAAGGTCGAAACGTCTGTAGACTGTCATGTTCAATAAAATTTTCAACACACAAACAACAGTGTTTGTGCTCCCATTGGCCTCGTTACATCACTGTGTGTTTAATATAATTTCTATTTTATCAGTTGCCATGTACGTATACAATCATGTGCACATTCGTATCATTTTTCTTTTCTCGCTCGTCTTTTCTTCTCTATCTTAGTCTATATTAACTCCTTAATTTTTTATTTATCGTCAGTAGGTAATCCTCAAATAGTATAAGATATATATATATATATATATTGATTGTTTTTTTTTTCGTGCCATATGCCGTTTATTTTTTTGCAATGTGTACTAACGCGGATTGATTCTGCAAATGCGGATGCAAAGCTAAACGCTGAACTTTTATTAAGCGTATGCTCAGAGAAGAAGAGAAATATATTACATTCATAAAACACTGCATATTTTTAAGTCCGCCTTTTTGCACTTGAATAATACGACTAATCTAATTAAGCTAAAATTTATAAACATCTTCTCTTAGCGTGCATCGTTGTGTCGCGCTAGATTTTTGTATCATATCATTTCAGCTATACACGCTAATGTAAATTATTCAAAGAATTTTTATATATATATTGATTCATCAGTCACAATCATCCAGGGGCGTCCCCAAGCTAGTATAAACTAGATATCATTTATATTTTGTTGCTTGCCTTGCACGTGGCAGTATTCGTCGCTTATTTTCTTTCTCCACGCCAGAAGAAACAAATCACTTTTTTAATGCGACGTATTGTCTAGCAGAATTTTAAACAATCTTCTAATAATATTAATTTTCCAGTTTATTTTTATATTAATACACTAGAGAGAACGTATAATTATATTATGATTTTTTTTTTTTTTTCATTATGTTTTATCTAGCTTGTTTTTATTATATTAAGAATCCTTGGACGGTCTTTCGTGTAAAATACTGTGCGAATACTGCCACGTTCGTGAACATTCAAGTTCGTCAAAAGAATCGAGAGTTTTGAAAAATTCCTTGAACTTCGAGAGAGAGCTCGCCGTTTCTCGCTTCTTCGAGTGCTTTGCTCTTGCGTTATTACACTATATGTATTGTCACCCTAAATAAGATACTAGAAACTTGTGTTTCAGATTTCTACTTAATCTCTAAACGATTAGTTGTCTGTGACAAATAATTTTTCAGTCAGTTTAGTGTGTTTTTAACAAGATTTAGAATTTAGATCCTACCCCTATCTCTAATAAAACTGACATATATACCTATATATTCCACGTACACACATAAACAATCACCAAAAAAGTCTCGATACACATCTTTCGTTAAATTAAATATTTTTATGATTAGGGTGACGATAAAAGTGATATAAGGTCTTCCATATTGCATTATCTTTCAGAGCGTGATAGTTCTTAATGTAAACAAAATAAAATATAAACAACATCAGCACAGTTACTCTAAATTTTCTTGCTTTGTTTATCATCAAAAATCTCTCTAGTTTTCATTAATTAATAAAGTTTACAAACTGCTTTTTTTCATAAAAAAAATTTAAGTTTAATTCGCAGTTCAATTCATTAAAATTTGTTTTTTAAATGAGATATTCAAGTTTTGATCAATTTTGCGCTAACATCGAGACGATGATCTTCTCAATACGCGACTGAAAGTTGACGCGATAAACCGAGACACCCCGTATACATCAGACAGACCGAGATCATGTCAAGATCTCACGATTGCGCGTGCTTCGGGTCGGCCCTGCATGGATCATTTTATTAGTGTTTACCATTCGGCGACGATTACTTGAATGCGGACCCGACCTCATTGCGTTCGAGCGTGCACCGCGACCTTGACCCGCCGATCCAATCTGCGATCGCCTGATCGCCGGCTGACGACAGAATCAAACATCATTGCGCAAAAATATCATCAAGAGTATAAGGCGCAATTTTTATCAGCGAATGACATTGGCAACGATTATAGTTCGGACATCACCGGCGTGGAATTTCGTTGATTTTGTTGGCGCCTAAAAACCAATCGATCCCCTAAGCCACAGACGGATGGATCGGCGTGGCGCACAGAGAGGTCCTGGTTATGTGGGAGGAATATAGAAATATAGCGAGAGGGAGGAACGCGTAAAAGGGGAAGGGATGTGAAGTTGCGTCGGGGAAACATTGTCTGCCTGTGATCATGCTGTTGTAAATTAACCCCGCCATTCTTGCCCGTGATGACTAACCTCATATAGCCTAACAATGGGTATCCTTGCAGGTGCCGTACTGCGCCCAATTGGTGAGCAATAGCGCGTGTTGTGTGCATCGGTAATCACGTCACTTCTACCTCACCTATAAACTTTACTACCTGCCTCTTCTCTTCTGTCTTTATTGCTGATTAACGTACTACGACTAACGGAGTACTCGAGTGCTTTGTTTTCAATCCTTTTCCCGCCTGCTTAGACGGCTCTGTTGCTTTTTTTTTTTTTTCTAGTCCTGTGACTGAATCTAATCTCTCAACTCTATGCACCTTATCACACTCTACGTTTTTTTTTTTTTTTAATCTCATCATGTATCTACTTGGCAATGAATATTAGTGTATCGCGAGTGAGCACGAAGCATGTACGTCATATTTTGAAGGAGCACGTTCCCGATGTGACTTCAACAAAAATTTTTTATTCAAAAGAAAAGAAAATGTTCAACCATAAATTCTCCGAAAATATTCTTTTGTTTATTGCGCAACAAAGTCACACGTTGATATGATGTAGTGTTTAGTTTTGCTCGTAAAGAGATAAATCACTCTTGTTATTCTGACATGTACACATTCATGAAAAACACCTACCTAATCTCGGCGCGTTTACGCGTTTCAATTTTTGTGTTGCGTTTTTGTTAGTCAACTACTGGGTGATCAGCAAAATATAGTTAATCAACAAAAATCGAAACGTGCCAACGCACACCTTTATCGAGATGTAAAGAAATTAATAGATAATAGATTTCGAGAAAATAAAATTTGTGTAAAGCACTTTGTATATGATAATTTGCATGCGATTGTTCAGAGTCGTGTTTCACTAACAAATCGCGAACGAGAGAATAGTTGTTATTAACATAATTATGTGATAGTGTTTTTATTATATGTTTTACATCATTATTTTATTATGACAACCGAGTGACAACGGTTTCGAAGTATGCATGCATTTCTACTGTCAATGCATCCCATTTTATTATTCAACGAACGTTCCGCACAATTCCCCTCACTTTTTTATTTACGCAAACTCTGAGAAGCACAGTCGTTTATGCAAAAAAAACAAAAAAAAAAAAAAAAACAAAAAAAAGATAAAAGAGAAGACGATCCGACTTTCCGGATCGGCAATTCTTTCTCGTGTTGATCGAGGAGCATGGCACACGAGGTGACAGACACATACACACATTACACACAGTACACATATACGAAAGATTGCGTCTTGGATTCGCGAATTATCTCTATATTCGTATCTGTCTGTTTTGATTTTTTTTTTTGTTTTTTTTTTGGTTTTATATTTTAATCAAGCCGCATCTGAGCCTCCATTGCACCCTCCTCTGATCTGCATTCGAAATTCAGTAGAAGCACCAAGAAAATATCTTTTTCGTTTTTTTCCGAAATCAAGTATAAACAACCGTCGTTTCTGGCAAGATAAAATTATTCACTCGATAGTCGTGCATAGAAAATTTTGTTTGTGTGTCAAACTTGTATAATTAATAAAGTTGAATCGTTAAAACATGTATAAAAAAATCATCCTGCCAGAATCGCAGCGGAAAGTAGTAAGAACTTAGATATTTATCACCAGGTATTAAAAACATACTATGGAAATTCATTGTTTTGTCCCCCTCCGAATGTCTCAGCATGAGTATCTTTGCAGTTATTGTAATTGTGACCGTAACCATTTTTATACAAGTAATTTTGTTAATTGAGAGAAAAACTCTAGGCGTCGCCAGGAACGTTGCAAAGGGAACGTTACAAGGGAAGTAAATCGGGGATTCTTGCACGTGTCTGTTTGATATTTCGCCACGGCGGAACTGATGCGGTATCGCATATTCAAAGAAACAATGAATTGCATATTATGTGGACAAGTACCTGTCTTTTTATCATAGGTCGGAAAGTCTTGGCGCGCTTTATAAAATCGATTACGCGAACAAACGTTTAATAATTAACCCATTTGAAAGCGACGAAAGCTTATCGATATTGCATCGTTTTTATAAAGAGTGGGTTAATTATTTTATTTATAATACATTTTTATGACATAACAAAAAGTTTAATTTACTTTGGCAAAACGTTGAAAAAGATAGATTAAAAAAGTGAGTCATTACATTATCGCAAAGAATGAAACTATACAATTATTTTATGTGGAACACTCGGTCAATCAGTTTACACTGCTGAAAAGTTATTCTGTTCACATTCACATTTATCACATATTTGCATTGTTTATCTTCAATGTGTCATTTTTTCGCGGGAGCTTATTTTAACGCATTAAGCTGATGCACCATGTTGGTCAAGACTTTTCAACCCTGTTGTCGTCGACGAAAGAGATCGACGAGTTATGAAAAATGCGTCCAATTCCCGCCGTGGCTAACCCAGTTTCTCCCACGAACCTCTTCGTAGGACGGGCAGCTTTGCTGCAGCTACGATTACGGCTGCGCTGACGATCTGGGTGACAAGAAGCAGCGACGTCCTGCAAACGCTGTTCGTGAGCCTTTCGTACATCATCTATCAGACACTGCGGTCCAGTCGCTGGTCGACGATTCACCGAAAACAGCTGTACCAGCGGTCACCGGCACACTCGGCACCGCACGCACCATCACACCCGCCGTCATCACCTCCGTCGCAAGCACCACCTTCCCCGTCTCGTCGCCCACGCACTACTCATCATCAACCAGTATCAGCAACGACAACACTCGCAATCTCAGGCGGGAACGTGCAAGAGGCTTGGATGTGTCGCAGAGCCAACGGTTCGTTGGAAGCTCGACGACGTCGCCGACGGAGTCAGAGCAGTCCACGACGCCGTCGTCGACGACGGCGAGGACGCGAATGTCCAGATCGTCGCTGTTGCGACGTAACCATTCGACAAGCACTGCCGGTCGCCACGGCAATGCCGTCACCGCCTCTTCCTTCTCTTCATCGTTGTCATCGCCTACTCTTGCGGTGGTCCTGGCTTCAACAACCGAGGATCACGAACATCACAATCGATCGTCCAGGAGTGTCTCTGCGCACATCCGTCAGCTAGTCGAACACCGTCGCAAGAACAGCAGGAAGTCCAGTGTCCTTGACAGCGCCACTTGAGGACCGTGGATCTAGAAGAAGATAGAAAAGGACGAATCCGATACATTTGGCAAGGCATTCCAGAAATCCGAGGGATCTCCCATAGTCGCTCGATGCGCGTCATCCGTCTATTGTATCGTCGGCAGAAGAAAGGAAAACGAGATCGGTACTTTGCGGGAGGAATAAACGGGATCATTGGCGAGATATAATCGACGTGAAGGTGTCACCGCAACCGAAGGAGATTTGTTTTCATTTCTAGAACCTGTTTCCGGAATAATCCGTGTCTGGTAGTTTCGAGGAGCGAGATGGTTAACGATAATCTTATCGACGGAACTAGATCGACGATCACTGACCTCGACCCTAGTTCTGCTAGACTTCTGCAGGTCCTAACCCTAAGATCGCCGATACCGTGGAGCTCGAGTCACTTGAGTGTTTCGCGGACGAGGTGACGTGGTCGCTGTTAGATCTGAATTTAGAACAGACTGGAAATACGGCTAAAGATAATACGAAAGCGTCCAAGACGTTCGCTTTTTCGCTTGAATCGCTCGCTCAAGTTACGATAACTTTTCTCGCCGAAGTTACCATCATCGGACAAACGTCGAAACGCGTCGTTACTAACTCTTCGAGAGACAATCGGTATGAGAATCATTTTTTACAATTTAATTTCATATACATATATATATATATATATATATATTTAATTTGGTATAATTTTGGTAAAATATATTTAATTTGGTATAATTTTCTCTTGGTGTATATTGAACACTAAGGCATATGTATATATATATATATGTACATATATATATATATATACGTACGTATAGAAAAAGAGAGAGAGAAAGAGAGAAAAAGAGAGAATACTCTCTCTGACACATTTTATCAAAGTTTTGTTATCCAATTTCAAATTGTTTGTTTGCTCGAATTATTAGTTTAAACTTTGTCTTACATAATAAATAATTTATCTTTTCGCTGCTGACACATGTGTAAAGACATATAACATATGTGATGTATGGGAATTCGGATCAAATTAATATGAATTGAATAAAATCCGTTTCTTCCGAAATCATTTTCTGAGAAAGCATGTAAAATTAAATAATCATTTATTCAATAAAACTACGCTGCATTGTAGAAATTAAATAATTTTTTGGAAAATAAAATCTTGTTTACTTATGACTAGAATATGTTACATATGCAGCAGAAAAATTTAATAAAGCAAAACACGTGTAGATAAGACTGAATAATGGACCAGGCAGCTAAAAGTTATTTTTTTTTTTTTTTGTGACTCTCACAAAGACTCTTTTTTTAAAGAATCGCACATTACGTTGACATATAATATGCAATTCAAATTTCTGAAATCTTTGCCTAAATCTCAAAAGCAATGTATAAAACATAAAAGAGCCAATGAAAGAGTCTACGTTGAAACATTTTTTTTTCTCTCACACAAAATAAAGTTTTTGTCATCGCACATTGTCTAATAACCAGTCTATTATGTAAATAAAATAATGTGTTGTTTTATAATTTATGTTAAATAGAGCTGTACATCTTGAACAAACAAATGCATGAACTGTTTGTCGAGATTCTCAGGACCGATTGCCGATCGAAAAACGTGGCGCGACTCGAGCATGATCGAGCGAACTGAAGGCGCAGATTCGCTTTCGCAAAACAGCTCCTTTCGCGTATTTGATTGAACAAGTAGCGCACAATATTTGGGCCTTATAAAGTAAATTGTTGATGTTCCGCTAAACCCCCACATAGACATTTGTATGTATGTATCTAAAAGACGACGACGAAAAGCAAGGACAATATAGTATATATATATATATATGTGTGTGTGTGTGTATGTGTATACATATATATATATGTACATATATATATATATATATATATATGTGTGTATGTTTGTCAAAAAAAAAAAAAAAAAAAATTCTCCCGTCGAGGGAGAAGACAGAGAGTAACGTATATAATATACATGTTTTGAAGACGCGCGAGAAAACGCGAAGATACTTAGCTCACATAATCTTAGGGAATTTCATCTTAGCTATAACTGCGATGAAGAAGAGATGGGCCTAGCTAATCATTCAACTCTGAGCGACACACGGGGAAACTTACAAATCTTTCTTTTTTTTGCCGTGACAATTATAAGAACTCCCGTGTTGTATAGTTATCAATCGAAATATACCGGACGATGAACGTACCGGCTAATATGAACGATTCTTTATCTCGCTCAACCCAATATGACCATACGACTACATTCCTCCTTGACTAACAATAAGTAGGCACTAATGAGAGAGAAACATATATACTTATATATAAATATATAAATATATAAATAAATGAATGAATATGTATACAGGATGTTCAGCTGTTTACGCCATTTCTTTTAATCGCGAATTCTCCTTGATCGATTTATTTTTGTATTTTTTATGCTAAATATTTCGACTAGTAATATTTGAATTGAAAAACTTCCCTTTACACATATATAAGTTTATAAAGAAAAATATATATCTATGTTTTAAAAAAGAGTATATATAATTATATGTAATTATATATAGTTATATATGAGAGACAACCTGATATGTGATTGTATATAATTATACATAAAACCAGATATATAAATTTTGTCCATGTATGAAGAACTTTTTTCCTCGAGTTGCTAATCAATTTGATTGACATTTTTAACAAGAATAAATGTTGAATTTATCAACGGATTTTGCTGAACAAGAGGAAAACGTAGCAGATGCGGAACATTCTGTGCACCCTATTCGTATGATTATATATAAATCCATACGAAATACACGGAGGACACGTACATATGAACGTTACACATGTATACAAAGACACAACGGAGAGAAGGGCGACAGGGGGAGGAGGTTAACTCGTAATTAACGAAATAAATTAATTAATTAAATAAGACGTAACAAACAATTTCCAAAACGCTATTAGGATTCGTGAAAAAAATAAAGAGAAAAGATCAAGTCTCACAATATCCGAGAATTCAGCGGTAATTGTTCGTTCAATGTGCAATACTTTAATAAATAATACACCGCTTTGTAATCGACTTTTATCGGATCGGAGCGATACTACGACAAATCTTACAACGGGATATAATGAGATTTATACCCTGCGCCTTAAGTACTTCGTACATATATAGCGTGACGACGCGGGCGATCTATAAAAAAAAAGATTAGGTTATATGTATATATATATATACATATATATATATATGTATAACATTAAAATAACAACATTATTAATAATAACAATACAATAATACTATTACTGATTGTATATAGACCTGTAATGTTATAGTATCATATTAGGGACATATACTATATAATTACTTAACACACATACACTCGTTTGAAGACGCGCGCGAAACGTCATAATAATTAATCACATGGTCTTAACTATTTATGAATAAAAAACAAAAAAAAAAAAAATAAACGTGCGGAGCAAGCGATGGGAAAAAGGAGGAGGTTAAGTCAAAGAGGCATTAAAAAATCTTTGCCGGCCGTTGTCCTACTTTGCACGATGAACGTCCGAGAGCGTTTCGTCGTCGTCCATTCCGCAGCTGCATTTCCGTCTCAAAAGCGTCAAATAGCTCTATCTCTCTCTTTCTCTCTCTTTCTCTCTCTCTCTCTTTCTCTCTCTCTCTCTTTCTTTTTTTCTTTCTTTGTCTGTTCCATTCAATTCTTCCTAATTGTTCTTTTCGAAGCGAACGCTTTTGGCTCAAAGAGCGCAGAGTTTACTACGGCCGGCACAGTAAACACGAAAGGCACGGGTAAATAAGAAGTAAAGCGAGAGATCTTTAATTTTTTCTTCGTGTTAATTTCTCTTGTCAATCTTCTAGCAAAAATTGTACTGTTCTAGGAGATTCGTTGAAACATTATGTGTGTTACACTTATCACTGGATAATAAATAATAATCAAGTTCTACGGTTTCCGTGCGAGGATTTAATTTTGTTTTTGGTTTTGTTTGTTTGTTTGTTTTTTTTTTTTTTTTAAGAAAAACTATTTGTACTGTGGTTTTGCCTTTTTTTTAACTATTTGCGTGATTTGAAATGACAATTTATCAGTGTCACGGTCCGCTATTTAATTAGCTCGTGATTCATCATATCATTATTTGATTGCCCAATCAATTTATCAGATTTTCTCTTCATATCATTAATAATATGCAGCTAAAAGAAAACTGTAATTTATTAAACATATCAAAAATACGTTAATCTCTACAAAACATATTTGATATATCTTAAGGAATAAATTATTTTCACGCGTATAACTAGCTTTTATATGTATGTATTATGATTTCATTACTTGCACGTAATATTTCGTTGTCATTTTTTGAACATACACGTAATGCATAGAGGAAAAAACTTTATTCTTTTTGCCCTGTGCCATTCGAACAGTATTTATTTACATTGTAAGTAGATAATTATGCTCCAATGTGCGTGTACTATCGACATACGTCATAAGAATAAATGGAAAAATTTTTGAAACGGCTGAGCGTTTCTTGAGTGTGTAAAACGAAGATCGACGATAGAGATCAAATAAACGATCAGTGCTGTATGTTACATACTTTATCGAGTCAATAAATAATCAGCACAAAAGTCTTGTCGAGAAGAAACTTTACACTAGAAAACGTAATTTTATTCCACGAACTAAACTAACGAGATCGAGGGAAGTCCCGCCGTCAGGACAAGGAAAAACGCGCATCACGCAGAAAGAAGGCTTTTATACGCTTCGAGATACCTTACTTATCCTTTGTATGTAATAATCGTTAATCAAAGACGGGTTTTGTAAAATTGTACGTGTAAACGTTACAAAAACAAAAAAAAAAAAAAAAAAAAAACGGCGATAATTATTTCTATTTATCTACTTGCATGAATGTAATGTTTTTGTGTGTGGAAGGAAAAAATAATTATATCGAAGGATAAGTAAATCATTGAGATATGAAGTAATTAAAAGAATTTGAATAACATCAATCAAACGTTCGAGTCAATTAGTTCTAACAAATAATAATTTTGATCGGGGGTAATTCGGAGAGAGATATTGTCGATCGAATAAGATTTTCAAATTTATTCGATCTAAAATTTTCCGGAACTCTGCAAACTTGAGTTAGTCCAAAATTCTTCTGCCTTTGTACGACGTAATGTAAATATAAAAATAATAATTCAATAAGTACAGTTTGTAAGACTCGTTGAACTTTTTCTATTCATTAAATACATATTTCTAACGTCAATTAATCCGGTCACCTATTTTCAAAAGAATTCTTGAAAAATGAAGATGACAAAAATACCAAATATATATTCATCTCTATTTGTTTTCATTGTTTTTTAAAGAACAATTGTCTCTCTACCGAAATTGCCCCAAACTTATACTAATGTTGATCTTGTATTAAGAAAATATACTCAACAATAGTCGGCCTCTTCGGATTAGAAATTTATACATTCATCTAGTAAAGCATATTTTTAAACAAATAAATCGAGACAAGTGTAGAGGAAGTAGAAACAATAGATAGATCTATATCTAAAAATCAGGGCGGCGATAAACAGAGCCAAAACCTAATGGACCTCTCTCTCTCTCTCTCTTTCTCTCTCTTTCTATATATATATATACATACACATATATATATATATATATATATGTATATATATATATATATGTATATATACATATACACATATATAATGTTCATACAAGCAAACTCTACGCAATCGATGACAGCCTTGATAGTTAATATTGAGTAATCGGAAGCGTTCAGAATCTCTTATAGCTCTATTTAATATTAAAGTACATTCGCTACGTCTACTGAATACGCCTAAATCAGTACCGTAAAAACTACTACAACGACTACAAGTAAGAGCTTGTTGTGAGACGCGAGGAGATCGACTGCTGAGATTGAAATATATTATTCCTCGTTCGACATTTTTAATTCGTCTTAACTTTGTCCAATATCTCCAAGAGAGATCAATACGAATTGTTCACATTTGAGCGAAGCGGAAGATGATTGTGTCTCCCTATTGTATAGGCGAGACTATATTTATAATAACAATTGGCATTATCGTCACTGCCGGGGTCTAATATCGCCGCTTGTCATGTTAGATTACGTTAGATTACATCACGATCAGGGTACAAGACGATCTGTATACTCCTCGAAGAAAATGCCAAATCGGGGAGACAAAACAAAACTAAACAGTGTTACTAACGAGTGCGCTATTTCTATTCCCTACAATATCGAATATGAATCGTTTCCATTTTTGTGACCGTCAGACGATCGTTTAAGTTGTGATTGTCACAAATAGGAAAAATCGAAGAGCAAAGAAATATCTTGAAAAAAAAAAAAAAAAAAAAAAAAAAAAAAAAAAAAAAAAATAATCGAATTATGTTGAATTATAATGCGATTAACGCACTGTTATCTATGTCAATATTTGCGAGAAATTTTTTTTCAGGTAGTAAATCTCATCACCTGAAACAAATTTAACATTTATGTTAGTTTCANCAAATAGGAAAAATCGAAGAGCAAAGAAATATCTAAAAAAAAAAAAAAAAAAAAAAAAAAAAAAAAAAAAAAAAACAGACAAAAACTACGTTCACTAATCTTTGCACAAACGCACTGTTATCTATGTCAATATTTGCGAGAAATTTTTTTTCAGGTAGTAAATCTCATCACCTGAAACAAATTTAACATTTATGTTAGTTTCAACTGAAATGTAAAACAAAAAAGTTTTCGTTTCAGTAAAAATATACAACTAATTTTATACGAATTAACTTATGTAATTTATATATATCGAAAAATCAGTTTAACTGTTAAGACATCTCGAAATTGTAATCGATTAACTTTAAATTATTTAATTAATAACTTGTATAATATATAACAACTTATATACGATATAAGGCAACTTGTATGAGATACAAGTAATACATGACAGTTTACATAAACGCTTATTTTTTTCCATCATTTGTTTATTACATAAGTTTCGCTGTATATTCATGATTACAATTTTATTCAGAACACTAAACAACAAGGTTCACTTGGCCTTAATATCGCTAACATGTCATTGTATGATGACCTCAACGTATTATAAAGTCAAGGATTTATTAGTTAAGGCTTTATCAGTTAACCGGTCTCAAGAGTCTCCTCCCTTCTCCCATCTCTCCCTACGTCACACGAATCTCTTCGAGCAAACCAAATATTCTTGGCCGTATCGTAATTGTATTTGCATAAACTAATTGTCGATTGTGGGCTTAACGCTGGGGAAGGAGATAAATAAGAAAAGATAATACAAATGTCTCATGTGAATTCGCCAAAACATTGGGAATTCCATGAGAAAGCGTGTCGTGATCGTCGCCGATCGTTAGAAAAATTACAAATTTTTAATTTCAATTTTTTTTTCAACTATTTTCATCTTGTATTCGAATTCACGTTTTATTTGTCACTATTTATAACTCTATCAACTATATTCTTTAACGCAGAGACGCCCATACAAGATACAATTTTATATTTCGCGATAATTGAAAATTCAATAAGTATACGATTACGTTTGTCAATTTTATCATTAAATGTCATTAAAATTCTTATTTATATATGATGACACAAAAATAATCATTCATATATTTATAGTACAATTTAATTATTTTACTTCACTGATTTGAAAATATACGTTTCCTAATTCAATCATAAAGTTTTTACGAAGAGATTCAGGCAGGAAACATTTTTTTCTTTAAAAGTTCGTCGATCGCGGCGGCGTTCTCCACGCTTTCACGCTTGTTGTGCGACGAATGTTTCTATGTCACCCCGTGTAGGAGTATAAGAGAGTTTATCTTGTCTAGTCAGGTTTACTGATAAATAATTTTGTCATTTAGTCATTTTTTCTTATTGCTGTGAATAATAACATAAGACTCTTGTCTTTCTTTCGCCGAAAGTCCGAGCGAGTGTGGACGAGAAGCTGATGATAACTTTTTTGTATGTCAGAGAGACGACGACAGGACGACGATTAAACGTACGATGCGATTGTCCATATTAATGTATCGTCATTGATTGCTAGTATTATTATTACTATTATTATTAATTATCATTATTATATCATTATTGATCACTGATTATTACAATTAAGATTATTATTACTGATTATTAGTTATTACCGTTACGACTATATAATACCTTTGTAAATGAGAATCAAGACACTGATGGCTATAGGGAAAAGAAACTTAATAAATTGAAATTCTATTAACCCAAAGGTGTTTAATCTCTTTATTTCGATTTACCTTTGTCAGGAACAAGATAGAGCCGAGTTGTATAAGATAAAACATAATAAGGTAAATTAATCGTATTATTATCTCAGGTTTTTTAATCGTTTTATTGATAAATGTGTTACTTTCTGTACACAAGAACTCGTAATCACACAACTCGCCGAAGCGTGAAAATATTAAACTCGATCTTTCTCTCGTAGATACGTTCATGTGTAAAGTTACATAAGTTTCACGCTATTGATAGTATAATATTTATTATTTATATAAATTTACAGACTTTTTCATAGTGTAATGTGAGAACAGGTTTTCCACTTGTCCTCGGTGGCTTTGTGGCGTTTATGACTACACGCTTCCCCACTCTTCGCTCGATTTCTCTCATTTGCTTATCACTGCGATCACGAGGTAGTGTTAGTTACGATATTACGCTTCTCGAGTGCTAAAAATGTGTTATCTGGAAGAAAAAGTATGAGAAAAAAATGTATAAAACGTATTAAAAAATTTACAGGGAAATAAATAAAATGAGAAAATTGATACGAAATCAGGAGCAAGAGTGGGGAAGTGAATGTAAAATCCAACGTCTTATACAGTGTACAATGTGCCGCGGTTCCGATACGAAGTATCTGCATTGTGACGAGTGTCATAAGTCGTGTAAATACAATACATTGAAAGAGACATTTTACGAACGTCAACGATGCTATCAGTTTGAGCGGGATATTTATATGTATGTATTCATGTGTTTTCAACATTTCCATACTTTGGTAAAGTAATCACGCCAGTGAACTGGTAGTTCTTCAGAAGCACGGTTGTTCCAAAGTCGAAAAGTTGACCGCCGTTAGAGAATCTATTTTCAATACAAAGACGACTGATCTGAATCAAAAACGTTTTAGAACAAAGTGACTTTGATAATGTCGAAGACAAAGGATCTTACGAAATTGTCGGTTACTCAGTTGAAACAATTTTTAACATCTTTCGACGTAGTGATGTCCGATTTTGACGGTAAGTAAAAATCAACAAAAAAAACTTAATGTTCAGAACAAAAGAACACATATAGACACATACATGTTTCTGAAAAATCACTTTTATCTGATCACATATAAGATTTAGGCCGATATTCATAGTCGGATCTTATATTTAAGATCATCTTAAGTTTATCTTCAGATGGTGTACGAGTAGTTTTATTGGCTGCAGAGCATCTGAAGATAAACTTAAGATAATCCCACATTTATTTACATATGTATATATGACAGAAGAATTATGTGTGTTTCTCTAGGAGTTGTATGGCAAATCGATCATCCTATTGCAAATGCTTTCGAGTCTCTAGCGACACTGCAGAAGATGGGAAAGCAAGTGTATCTAGTAACGAATAACAGTACTAGAGACTCAAGCGCGTTTAGCAAACTTGCTCGTCATGCCTCTTTGGATATAAGTCCAGTAAATATTGATTTTTTTTTTTTTTATATCTTTGCTGATAACTTATATTACATAATCAGTAATTTGAACTGATATTAACATACATTTATTACACATGTATTTATATTTTTAATCTTAACACATTGACTTTGCATCAAGATTTGAAAAATTAATTACGCACTTAATATTGCACATTGTTATAAGTTTCAAGATAGCTGTGTGATTTACAGGATCATGTAATTAACACTATCAAAGTGATTATCTGGTATTTGAAAAAAATTAATTTTCAAGACGAAGTGTTCGCTATAGTTTCAAATGTGGCTCGAAAACAATTAATAGAAGCTGGAATAAAATTAGTAGAAGACGTAAGTTAATATATTCAACGATAAACAATAAGAATATTATCAGAATCAGTTTCATAAAAAATTATCACTAAATCGAAATTAAGAAAAAAAACCATATAACAAGTCGTTTAAACATTATCTGAACGTATAACGTCAATATATATATTTTAATCCTTTTTTTATAATATCATATTTTTCATAAGTTTTAGTAAAAGTGGAAATTGGTTGTTTTTGCAATTTTATTCATTCTTTTAGCATACATGTGTAAAAGTAAATAAAAATAAATTAAAATGACTTTTGATCTCACAGCCAAAATTTTTCGCGGATAATCAGACTGCGACCGTAAATGAAGTTATAGATCGGCCGTCTGTTAAAGCTGTTATTGTTGATTTTGATGTCACCGTAAATTGGATGAAGCTGGCTTTAGCTATATCATGCCTTGAACGTAAAGATGTATTGTATATAGTAGGAATAATGGACAATTGGATAAATATAAAAACATCACCTAAAATCAACATTTTAGGTAAGTGCATTAACGTGTACGTCGTGCAATAATATGTGCATTAATATATAAAAATATTTTAAAATTACTAAAAAAATGTAAATAAAAATAATACAACAAAAATCTTTTTTTTAATCTTGATTGAAGTTAGATAAAAAATTTTTAATTGTGATTAAAAAATGTGTGTGTTCTTAGGTCCTGGACCGTACATTCATATTATCAGTTCACAGACTGAAAGAAAACCAATCGTGTGCGGAAAACCTAGCTCAATTCTCAAAGATTACATTTTCGATAAATGCAATGTAACTGATCCACGTAGATGTCTTTTTATAGGTGACTCGTGAGTAACAAACGATTCATTTTCACATGTTTACGCAAACAAATATCTTTAATGTTCATGCGAAATTTATATCATATTAGTATTTGCATTTTGCTGTTTATCAATATAATTACTCTTACAAATTATGATATTTATTAATAATTATCTTATTCAATTTAAATTGGTTATACGTATATTGATTTAGAAATATTAATGCAGGAGTGATCAAGACATGCAGTTTGCTTCCATGTGCGGATTTACAAAACTTTTTGTCAGTACGGGAGTGGACACTCTAGAAAAGGCACAAAAACAAGAAGACAGTTGTCCCGATTATTATCTTCCTACTTTGGGTCAGTTATTTGCCGCTGTTGAAGATTTACAAAATTTATGTGCGACCATTAAAAATTAACGGTGTATTACCCCACATACACAAGAACATCTATTTCAAAATGACAAGAAAAACATTATATAACACAATTGTCTTTAACTAAAGATTACAAAAACTGTTTTTCAGTTACTGCTAAAAGAAAAAATAATGTTTTTACAAGTTACATTTTGCGCGTTACATTTCCGGATGTACATGAGACATAGTTTTCAAGTGTAATACACATATTATAATTGTTAAATTTTCAACATTTAAACACTCGACAAAAAAGTTATGTGTATGTAGAAACTTATTCAATAAATAATGACGTATATTAAAATGCAAATTTATAATTTCTTTATTTTATAAAACATGTACATATTACGTACATATGTGCAAAATAGTTTTATTTATGCATAAAGTCGTGTGCTACATCAATAATTCAAGTTTAAGCAGTCAACGCTAATACATGATTATCATTGAAACGGTCATATCAAGTCATTACATGAGTCATTGACGGTCGTTGTGGTGACAGATACGCCTCATCAGATAAGAAGTCTAATATACAAGCAGAGATGTTACAGTGCAGTGCACGATCGTTCTTTCTGTCTCGTTTTTAATTCGTGTCAGTTATCGTGCTTAAAAAAAAATTTATATTGGCGATAATGTCATGCTTAACATTATCTCTCATAATATATGGATTTCTTATAACAGTTAATTGTCGCAAGCATGACAGTAAGTACAATTTATTAACCTTAATTCTCTGTATCTGTATCTTTTTTTATTTAGCACTTCTTTCGAGATTCTATTTTAAAAAAATTCGTTAAAAATAAGTTTTGTAAAACTGTTTTTTCGTTATAAATAAACAATAGAACGTATTAATAAATACTTGAAAGAAGAAGATGACAGAATTGTTGCAATTTTTTTAATATTTTAAATTCAAATAAAATAGACCGTTAGACCAACGGTTCGGTTTAGAATGCCAAGTAATCGAATTCGTTATCACCTTGACTGAAAACACGAAACGCAGAGTTTCAGAATACTTTGGGTCACATAAAGCCACATACGTCGTGGGAAATTCAGGCAAGAGCAGCTAAAGATGTCGCGGAAAGACTTCTAGGCAAGGAAACGTCAAATTTGTTTGTTATGTTGGTAGATACCGATTTGGGTCCTATCGACAAAGATACCTTCAAGGTACAGAGCGTTTACTTTTTGTTACAATCATGCGTTAGATAATCCAGCTCCTTTTTCTCGCTGAAAAATGTAACTTATCGAGCAACTCGAATTTTTGTGTTTCGGCAGATAACAAAAAATCCTCTAGGCGAGATCGAGATTCGTGGCACTTCTGGAGTGGCGATCACGTGGGGTTTGCACTATTACTTGAAAAACTACTGTAATGTACACTTGTCGTGGGACGGTATCTCTGTGAACTTGCCAAACACGTTGCCGGATGTTCGAGTTAAAATTACGTCCAACGACAGGTGACAACGCGAGATTCACTCGTGATATATTTGTTTGTGATATTATGTGATAATTTCCTGTTTTTACAGATTCAGATATTACCAAAATGTGTGTACTGCGGGATATAGTTCAGCTTGGTGGCAATGGCAGGAATGGGAGAGAAACATTGACTGGATGGCTCTTAATGGTATTAATCTGGCTCTTGCTTTCACCGGGCAAGAAGCGATCTGGCAAAAACTGTATCGAGATTTCAACCTCACCCAGGAGGAAATTGACGAGCACTTGGGTGGACCTGCTTTTTTACCCTGGTTATATATCCGTTTAATTCTTAAGAGAATACTGGGTCTATGTTATAGATCGTTTTTATCAAAGACACGTTATTTTTACCGCGACACTTCAGGGCAAGAATGGGCAACATTCGTGGATTCGGCGGGCCATTGTCGTCAAATTGGCATAATCGCACCGTGCATCTGCAACATCAGATTCTCCGGAGAATGAGAGATCTCGGAATCGTGCCGGTGCTTCCGGCATTTGCCGGTCATGTGCCACGAGCTTTCGCTAGGCTCTTTCCAAATGTCAATATGACCAAAATCGAACCGTGGAACAGATTTGAAGATAAATATTGTTGGTACGAGTCGAAGCATCACAATTTTATACATTTCTTTTTTTCTGACATTTTTGCGTAAAATATATATATATTTACACTCTTAAGATTATTAAATAAAGTTTTCACACACAGCATAATTTTTTTTATTTTCAGTCCTTATTTATTAGATCCGACGGACCCGCTATTTCGCACAATCGGAGAGAAGTTTCTCAGAATGGTAAGTCAACATCAATTATAAAGTAAAATTCCAATAAAAACATTTTTTTTAATAAGATATAGAAACATAAATATTTCAGTACATCGACGAGTTTGGCACCGATCATATTTACAACTGCGACACTTTTAACGAAAATGAACCCGATAGCAGCGAACTTGCCTATTTGAAAAACGTCGGTCGTTCGATTTTCGCGGCTATGAACGCAATTGATCCTAAAGCAATATGGTAAGTGCAAGTGAATTTAAAATGACAATTTCGTATATATATTGTATAGTTTTTAAACACACTCGAATTTGTTTCGAAATCAAAATACTAATTATTTAGGTGCACAGATAGATACATGAAATAATCTATCTCATACGAAAATATATTTACGATTTCTCAAGGTTGATGCAAGGTTGGCTGTTTGTGCACGACTTTACATTCTGGACGGAACCCAGAGTTAAATCGTTCTTGACCTCGGTACCTACGGTAAACTTAAAGTCATCAATTTCAAAAACTCAAAAAAAATCTGACAAATGTAACAACCGTACGTCAGTTTGTAAAAATACGTACATGTTACATTGAGATAACTTAGATAGAAATTTGTCTTACGTCAGAAAAGAGTGTATGTAATATTTTCAAATAATAACATGCAAGTTTACATATCGCCAGACTAAAATCACTTGCAGGGACGAATGCTCGTATTAGATCTGCAATCGGAACAATTCCCGCAATATAATCGGTTGAAATCGTATTATGGTCAGCCATTTATCTGGTGTATGCTGCACAACTTTGGCGGTACTTTAGGAATGTTTGGATCCGCACAAATCATTAATCAGGTACGTCAGAAATTTTTTATATCACTTTTTATATTAAAAAAAAATCGACAACGCTGTTGTTTTTGCAAGTAGCAACCAAATAAAAGTTTTATTTAATGTATTCCTTCGTAAATTCATTTTTTTTTTTTTTCTAGCGTACGTTCGAGGCTAGAAACATGAATGGCAGTACAATGGTGGGAACCGGTTTGACACCCGAAGGCATTAATCAGAATTACGTAATTTACGAACTAATGAACGAAATGGCGTACCGTCACGAGCCCGTCGATCTCGACGCTTGGTGAGAATGCTCGCACAATCCCGATGTATCGTTGAAAAAGTATATATGTATATCGTTATTTTTTCTCTAAGTCTTTTATCGTATTTCGATAACGTATCGACAGAGCTGATAATTGAAAGCCTTCATAATTTTTTAAGTGTCTATTGTACAAAAACTTATAGAGAAATATAATTTATCTAATCGATTAATTGATAAATACAAGAAAATATTGTTAATCGACAGGTTTGAAAATTACGCTACACGAAGATACGGTGCATGGAACGAATACACAACGGCTGCCTGGCAGTATCTTGGTAGAACAGTTTATAATTTTATCGGCACGGAAAGAATAAGAGGACACTACGTTATTACCAGACGGCCAAGTTTAAATATTTCGCCATCGGTATAATATTCAATTTTAATAATAATATAAATTTATATTAGTGAATTTTATATTTTAATTTAGGAATTATATTAGTTAAAGATGTATCGTAATGCGAGTTTTAATGCAGATCTGGTACAAGCGCAAAAATTTCTACTTTATGTGGAATGTATTCTTAAAAGCGAGATACGGTAGAGAAAACAGTACTCTTTATAGACACGACGTGGTCGACATAACTAGACAAGCTCTTCAAATAATGGCCGATGATATTTATGTAAAAATCATAGATAGTTACAAAAAAAGAAACATCACTGCTTTTCAGTGAGTGTTGATATGATATTACGTGTACAGGATGTTGCACAACTATCGCATAACATTTGAAAAGTAGATGTTTTGAAACATTATAAGATAAATTCTAATACGCGCGAAAATAGCGAGCTTATAATTGTGACTGTAATTAATAATCTAATCTCTCTTTAATTTTGTTTAAAAATTTAACAACTATTTTGGCTTTGCCACTTTCATATTAGAACTTCCGTTTTATAATAATGTTTCAAAAAATCCACTTTCCAAATATTACACGATAATTGTGGAACACTGTTGACAGGACATGCGACTTTAGAAAAGTGAAATTTTATTCTTGATTAAAATACGTCACAGATCGCACGTAAACGCTCTGTTGGAACTCTTTGACGATCTCGAGTCTATTCTGGCGTCGGGAAATAATTTTCTGCTTGGCACTTGGTTAACCCAAGCGAAAAATATGGGTGACAATGAAGAAGAGAAACGGTCTTATGAATATAATGCGAGAAATCAAATTACTTTGTGGGGTCCAAATGGCGAGATCAGAGACTACGCGAATAAACAGTGGTCAGGAGTAGTCGCGGACTACTTCAAACTCAGATGGGCGTTCTTCCTCAGTGCTCTTGAAAAATCTCTGCTCGAAAGAACAAAATTCAACATCACTGAGATTAACAATAGGATATTTCGCGAAGTCGAGCGACCTTTCACTTTTTCTACGAGGCTTTATCCGGTAAAACCGAAAGGTAACTCATTCTTCTGAAAATTTTTCGCGAACACTCGGATCAATCGGTTTTACTTAGTTATTCGTCGCTTTATATATTTTTGTAACCACGATTTCTAGCAAACATATATTTTTGAAAATTAATATAAAACCTATTCAATATATAATACTATAATACTCGAAAAAATTGTATATTATAAAAAAATTGTATATTATACTTACTTCTTTTTAGGTGATACTATAGAGATAGCTATGAAAATAATTTCCAAATGGTACAAAGAAGAATTATAATCATATCAAACATCTTGAGGCTTGGAAATATAATTCATTTCTTAATTCATATACGTTTAAATAAATAAAAAATTACAGATATATATGTCTATACATTTTTTTAACGTATAGAAACATGTAGAGAGAAAACTTTGACACGTATAATTAAATCCTATACATTGTATCTCTCAATGAAAATAATTTTGCATTTAAAATATATGGAGGTAAATAAAATATCAATGTGTATGTATCTTCTTATTTCCTGAAAACAAAACACACTTTTAGAATCTCTAAACGCGCAAGCGTTTACGAACATTGATTTTTTTACTCCTTCAAGATATAATATTTTTTTTCATATATAATACATTTATATTTTTTTCCACAAAGTATATCAGAACGTTTTACATGACACGTTCCTCATCAAGCTGTAAAACGTAAAGGTAACAAACGTCTCAGATCCATGTTGAGCGCGCTGCCAGGATCGTCGAGATCTCGCAACGCCTGTGAAGTTTTTGTCTTCGCGTCGTCTCTGGTGAGCTCGTTTCGCTCAACGACCTTCTTCAGCAGTTGTTTTAACTGCGGTCCGATCCCACCCTCGGCGGACGACTCCAGAGTCTTCAGAACCTCGTTCGAGTACCCGGCGAAACGTGCGAATCCTTGCTTCCGCGCATCCTTGCTCAGAGCGTCGTAGAGGCTCGCCAGCTGTTGAAGTGCCGGCCTAGGCGGTACTTTGGTGCGCCTTAAGTAGCTGTTCAAACTTGGTCGTGGTACTTGAGCCACTTTCTCACCCAGCAGAGTGAACCTACCGCGCGACAAAAAAAAAAAAAAAAAACATAGCTTGTTAAAAGCGCTTTTTATTTACGCTCTTTAGATCTCTTATCTATCTGTTTATATTATTTATCAGATTTCTTAAACCGACGAAAGTTAAATTCAAAACTGCAATAAAGTTCTTTTATAATTTTCAGCGTTTGAAATTAAAATAAATATATTATATATTCATCAAACATTATTTGTGCGTCAAAAATATGTTTAAAGAATAAGTTTTGCAAAATAAAAACAACAAGTTGTGTCGTCACCTCGTTTCATCCTCTTCGTCTTCAATATTTTCCATCTTTTCGATCGAAAGTTCCGTTACGCTCTTTGACTCGTCGCTCATATCCGAGTCCTCGATGAACGGAGAGCTAGTTGTCTTCACAATTCCGTAAATTTCGTCCACAATGCTATCAATAGTCGGTTTCTTTTTCTTCTGCTTATCATCTGGCATTTCATCTGTCACAGAAGTCTGTGTTGACTGCTGTTGCGATACAACGTCGTGTAGCGAAGTTTCGACGACGGGCGCTTCGCTGAAGGAGTTTACCGATGAATTTATCACCGTGAAGAATTTTTCTTCCTCTTCGCTCTTCTCTGGGAATTCCTGATTGAATTCCTGCGTCTCCTGGACAACCTCCGGCAATTCGTGATTTGTTTCCGGCGTGGCCGATGACTCGTAATTGATTTCGACCATTTCTTCGTTCACTTCGGGCGGTTCTTCGTGGTCATCACTGTTAAAGACTATTGAAACGGTCGAATTTTCCACATGTTGCGCGACTTCCGGCGGATCGGAAGTTTCGAACAAATCTTGATTCGATATTTTATTCATTGGAGTCGAGGACAGTTGAGAAATTTCTGTCTGTTCGTCGTGCGCTTTCGTGACGGTTGTCGTCACAGAAATTCCTTCGGACGTCGTCGATAGCGATTGTTGATCCTTCATCGGCAAAGTCGTTGCTGACGACGATTGGGTTACTGTTTGCGTCTCTTCTACTTGCAGTACTTTCAATTGCTCGACCGCATGAAAAATCACCTATTTAAGAAATAAATTTCGCAACTGTTGTATCTTTCGATATATTCCAAAGTGTGTAAAAAATTTTTAATGCAGCATGTAAATGTTTTTCTATATTTAGATAAATATATGTAGTTTAGAAGCGCTTTTTATTAAATCGAGTAAAGTGTGTGATTCACCTGCATAGCGGCAGGAAGATATGAATTCGAATACACTGGCGTTGAAAAGGCCGGCGGCTTTTTAGCGACTCCAGCAAGAGCCTGAAGTTGTGAAAAATTTTAATTAACATATGAAGCACGCAAAAATATACGTATGTACATCCTCTCCTAGTTGGTAGCCGCAATCACATAAGCGTATATATTTATTGTACACGGAAATATTTCGCACACTAAAGGCAGATTGTCGAAAGTATTTATTATTATTCACTCACTCACCTATTATTACTGTAAAAGTTACTTACTTGTCGAAAAAATAAAACTACTATCAACCTGCACACTATTTTCATAATGAGATATTTCTTTTAAATTTAAAAAAAAAACACACACACTTTTCTCAAACACTGCGTGAATATAAATACTTTATCTATTTTACTGTCACAACAATACACCGATCTGTTTTATTCTTCGAGAAAATATTTCAAGATTCTAGACAGCCGTCGAGAAAAGAATTGATGATTTTCGCAGACAATCTCGAGGTTCGCGAACGGCCGTTGGGACGAGACTGGTCTCGAAAAGATTCATAACGGTCTTAGGTCGTCCTCGACGTCGCACACCTTCACACTCTTACGTGGACGACGCGTGTGTAAACGAACGGGTCCCTGTGCAGGATCGTTAATTACGTGACGAGTCGGCTATGTCTGCGACCGTGAATCGCGTTCATTGATACCAAGTCACAAAGTGACGTCTAAACTAAGCCATCATCGATATGCCGTGCACGTTTCTTGGGACGGATATTCCGCTTTGCACTCGGGTCAATTTGATCGGAATGCATCGACAGCAAGTCTTTTCTTCGCAATTTCTTTTGTATATACGCGGTTTATAAAATATGAAATAAAAAAAAAAAAATAAATAAAAACAAATTGTACACGTGTCGAAGAAATAAGATAATTTGATTGAACGAACTGGTGCCAAAACTAGTAGCTGATACTATAAGAAGAGAAAAGTTGATTCACAGTTATTTTATTTTTGCTGTTTATTTAAATAAACAAGTTTCTTCGAAAAGATTCTCTTCTTAAACATTCCTCAAACCATTTTGCGTCTTAGAGCGTATTATACCTGTGTGCATATTATATTGTTCGTATACCGACGAGCACTTCGACCTTCGACGACGATTTCCAATGTGACAACTTCCAATAAGAGTAAAATTTCTCTTTCAGTCAAAAACATCTTCAAGGAGAGTCGGTCGCGGACCAAGATAATCAGAAAAAAAATCACCTGACCGGTTTCACGACCAACTTTTATCGTCTTTTGTTTCGCGATTTTAAAATTGTCGTAGTTGCAAGTTGTTGAAACAAGGTTTTGATCTTTCAAACAGAGAACGTTTTATTCAATTTATTCGGAAATATCTTGTAAAAAAATATTTACTCTAACGGAACTTATGTTGCGTCGTAAGAAAAACGGGAGCATTTCTCTCTGTTGCAGAAAAACATTTACTGATTGCGCGACTATATCTGTTACGTTGCGCATGTGGGCGCCCTTATGCGATTATGCTTATTACGCATGAAACAGCATTATATATAAGCAGCGTTAAGTACTATATTGCCTTAGTTCTATCTGACACGCTTTACGACGCAAGAACAAGTTATACAGAAACACGGAATCCTCTTTACCGCGATACTCGCATTCAGCGATGGCAAGAGCGACCGGATTTATGTGGGTGTTATTCACGGCGGTAAGACGTTAACCTTTCAAAAACGATATCCCCCACAAACTTATTAATTATGATATTCTTCTTTCTGTTGATTATCAAAAATTAAGCGATTTGTGTGTGTGTTTTGCTAAATTGACACGTTAATTATTTTTCTTTTTATTTCATTTTGTTTAATTTAATAGTAAGTAATATGAGAATAAATAAAAATATATATGTGTACACATCATTTGCACAGGTTGCAATAACGCAGACGAAACCTCTGAACTCGACACTCGACGAATCGATCAATGAAATCGATCACGGTAATCACGCAAAGTCGAAGCCGCTCGGATTAAAAGAACGGCCGCGGAATTCTGCTTTGCCGACCAACGAGGTGCCGTTAACGACCACGCGAACAGCTGATGCAACAGTCGATTCGGCAGCCAGTACAGCGCGCGATACGACCGCACTGCCTGTAAGCGCTTTATTCCGTTTGTATTGACAAACATCAAATCTTCTTTGTGACGTCTCTCTTTCTCTCTCCCACGATTTGATCTCACTAATTAATTAAAACTTCAATATATACATTGTGTTATTGACTGTCAGCTTATTTCAATAATTTGATCTCTCTATTTTCTGTATATTGAATATGTATGTTGTTTAATTTGCCCTATTAATGCTCAATTAATTAAAAATCAATTAATTAAAAAATCAATTGGATTGATATTCATTTAATCGACCATATGCCATATAACGTAATATTTTTATGGCAAGTTCGAGGAGATTTCGACGACAAGACCGGGTCCGTTGTCGTGGTTCTTGGCGCCGCTCTCACAGAAGATCCAATTTTCGCCACAGTCCTTCCTGCAGGATCGTTTCGTCTTGCTAAAAGAGGTGCTCAACAATCTGGGCGTCAACGTGCAAAACGCAACGGCGAAGCAACTCGGAACCGGCGGTCTGGTGCACTTCACAGGTCCTAGTGACACCGGTTTCTACACAAATCGACTGGAACCGGCCGGTTTTCTTGGAGGCAACGGCTGGTTCGCCAATAAGGGCGGCATACTCGGCGGGCCTGGAGCTATTGTATCCACTGGCAGTCTTCTCACAGATTATCCGACTCCTTACAGAAGAAAGTAGGACGAACTCGTGTATATCGTTTATTCAAAACCGCATGTAAATAATTGAACGAGCGGAAATTATATTCTGTCGTAATTTAACATGCAACGCTAGTTTCGAACGCGATATCTTGAAAAAAATCTCTCATTTATCGAACAATTTATTTGTGCAACGCGGCACAGACTCATCGCTATTATGATAGTAGACACTAAAAAAAAAAAAAAAATAAATAATAATGTTTTCTTCGCACATATATCTACATACGGAATCGCGGCATTAGTAGTGTGTTTCCATTAGATAAAGTTATTGATATCGAGATCTTGCTCGATATAGTGAATTATTTTAAGTATGCGATTATTGTATTTTTTAAATGCATTTTTTTATTTTTAATATTTTTAGAATATATTTAAAATAATTGTCTAAATGACTTTTCGGATATTTGCTACTCAGATATTTCAGCTTGAATTGAAGAGATTTGAACCCGAGACGAGTAATGTCGATGGTTCCTTTCTTTCGTGTCTCGACGCAATTCTTGTCACTTGTAATTCGACCATGAAATAACGCCTGTTATGCGAGAAATCGCGTGCCGACAATCTCTCCTCGGGGGCGAGATTTATTAATAAAACCGATGACTGATTTGTGCGGTTGTTATCTCCGATATCACACGTGAAAATGACACGTACGTGAGAGGAGAGATCGGATAATTGGTAATGCGATCGGTAAAAGATTCTGTACCGCGCGTCGAATCTGTGCACCAAAATAACTTAAGTACGCCGCCGCAGAATAATATTAATAACAAGTCACTTTTTCAAACAAAAATGTTCAGTTTTCTATATTTACACATTGTATCAAACTGTAATCAACGTGGATTCTCAGTTAATTTTTTTTCAGTTTTTATTGTCGCGTTAAACAAATTTTGAAAAAAATGTAAGTAGTCATGCGGGCGGAAGTCGTCGCAGAGAGAAATTTTTTATTCCGATTGAGTGTAAACTCGATCTGTTTGATCCGATCGAGACAAACCGTATGCGTCACATTCTGAGCTAAGATTACATCTGTTTACTGTCTAGCTGAAGACAAAAGAGGAGTAGCATTTGATAAATTACAGATAATGAGCTACGCCTCTACGAATTTATGTACAGGCTGCACCTGTATAAGCAAACGTGATCGATGAGAGTGTGGCGACGCAAGTTTGCAACAGTGTGCGTTGTTTACAGATTAATTCTGCGTATCAACAGTTTGCCATGTCACGATTTTATTGACTCGTTAATGCGTAACTACAAATTATGTAAGACGCGTTTCATAATATTGTACGACAACAATATTCGGCTATGTGTATTGAAACAGCAAATATATA